ACCACCAATACCAAAATCACTACCACCACCATCACCATCACTACCACTATTACCACCATCACCCCCACAACAATCACCAGTACCACCACCATCACTATCACCACAAATATCACAATCACTACCACCATCACCATCACTACCACTATTACCATCACCACTAGAACAATCACCAGCATCACCACCAGCACCAGCACATCACTACCAGTATCACCACCAGCAACAACAGCACCAGCACCACCATCATCACCACCAACACCACCATCACCAGTAGTATCATCTCTACTATCACATCACCACCACCATCATCACTACCACCATCACCACCACTTTCACCAGCACTAGCACCACCACCATCACCATTCTCTTCTTTATCACCATTATCCTTATCAGTTCCACCATCTTCACCACCATAAAACCTTTCATTCCTTTAAGAAATACTTCTTATGCACCTACCATGTGCCAACCACTGTAGCTTCTGCTGAAAATATAGGCATAAACTGCACAGACACATCCCCTGCCCTTAAGTGTATGGTGCAGGCTTCCATACAAGGGACACAGAGAAAATAACCATGTTTGTATGGCACAGAAGGGTAAATAGAAGAGGCTTTAGACACTGAAGATGACCAGCCTCAAGGTTCAAAATCTTGGTACCACTCTAACATATTCTAAGGAACCACTGTGCCAAGGTCCAAATATTGATAAGCTTTGGCTGAATTGGGAAGAGAATGATCACCACCAAATCGTCACCAATGAATGAACCCAAAAATAAATATGAAATGTGCTTAGAATCGAGTGCTATGAAAGAAAGTATCAGAGAGGAGGTCTCATTTGGATTCAGAACCAGGAAGGCCTCTCTGAAGGAGTGACACTGACGCTGAGACATGAAGGTTGAATAGGGAGTAAAGAGTTTTGTGCAGAGGGAATGACCTAGACGAAGAGCTTGGTGCATTCTAGAGAAACCCAAAGAAGGATAATTAGGCTAAAGCACAGTGAAGGAGGGGCAAGCGAAGGGAAATGATATTGGGTGAACACACAGGGAGCAAGTGTGCAGATCTCGAGGTCCATGACAGAGTTTGGATTTTATTCTAATTGAATGGTTTTAAGCAGGGAAGTGAAATGCTCTCATTTACATTTTTAAAATCTCTCACTCTCCATACTAGCTTTAGTGTGGAGCATAGACTGTAGAGAGGGAAGCAAGGAAACCAGTTAGGAGGATGCTGCAGTAGAAGCAGCAAGAGATGCTGGTGGCTTAGGCTAGGGTGGTAGTGGCAGCAGTGTAGAACTGACAGGAGTAGAACTGACAGATCTTGGTGTTAAAGGATTGAGGATTATTCTTTATCTTGTTACTTCATAACTTCCTTGCCAGCACCGTCTTAATCTTCATCATTGTCATCCTTGTCTTCATTATCAGGAGCATCGGCATCCTGAGCAAAGCCATTACCAGCAAGAGCATCTCCTCCCCTGACTCTGCACACCATCTGCCCCATCACCCCTTCAACCACCATCTTGATCAAGAGTGATCTCTCCACAGTGACATAAGTAGATACTTGTACAATAATGCTCATTGCAGCACTATTTGTAATAGCCAAAAGGTAGAAACAATCTAAATGCCCACCAATGGATAAACAAACAAAATGCAGTACATACATAGAATGGAATATTATTCAGCCATAAAGAGAAATGTCTTTTTTTCCTTTTCCTTTTTTTTAAAAAAAATTGTTCAATAGGTGAAAGTTTACAGCTCAAGTGAACTTCTCATACAAAAATTTATACACATATTGTTATGAGACACTAGTTGCAATCCCTATAATGTGACAACACATTCCTCCTTTCCACCCCGGATTTCCCATGTCCATCCAACCAGCTCTTGTCCCTTTCTGCCTTCTCATCCTGCCTCTGGACAGGAGCTGCCCATTTAGTCTCCTGTATCTGCTTGAACTAAGAAGCATACTCTTCACGAGTAGTATTTTATGTTTTATAGTCTAGTCTAATCTTTGTCTGAAGAGTTGGCTTCCGGAATGGTTTTAGTTCTGAGTTAACAGAGAGTCCAGAGGCCATGTCTTCGAGGGGTCTTCCAGACTCAGACCATTAAGTCTGGTCTTTTTACTAGAATTTGAGTTCTGTACCCCACTTTTCTCCTTCTCCATCAGGGACTCTCTGCTGTGTTCCCTGTCAGGGGGGTCATTGGTGGTAGCCGGGCACCATTTAGTTCTTCTGGTCTCAGGCTGATGGAGTCTCTGGTTTATGTGGCCCTTTTGTCTCTTGGGCTAATATTTTCCTTGTGTCTTTTATGTTCTTTATTCTCCTTTGCTCCAGGTGGTTTGGGACCAACTGATACATCTTAGATGGCCTCTTGAAAGCTTTTAAGACCCCAGACGCCACTCACCAAAGCAGAATGCAGAACATTTTCTTAATAAACGTTGTTATGCCAATTGATCTAGATGTCTCCCGAGAAATGAAGTTCTGGTACATGCTACAACACAGATGAACCCCAAAAACATTAGGCTGAATGAAATAAGCCTGTCACAAAAGTTCAAATTTGTATGATCCCACATATATGAAATATTTAGAACAGGCAAATGTATATAGACCAAAAGTATATTCATGGTTATATACAGGAGGGAGTGAGGGGGAAAGGGAGAATCATTGTTTAGGAAGCAGTAAGTTTTGTACATGGTAATGGGA